TCCTGTAGTCTGATACATACATACATACATATGTATGTATCTTGGTGACTTTAATGCTGTGTAGAATTTAGATTGGTCTCTTTAATGCAGTGTTTTATACTCAGCTTGGTCATTGTATTCTTTCAGTACATGAGGCCGTTAATGCACTGTCAGTGACACAGTAGGTATTTATTGCTATTTTAAAAGACATGAGTTTGTTGATCATCTGCCACAGGGCAAGTTGATTAAGTTGAGATATGTGCCACATTCAGTAGGAGCCCAGAAAAACTAGAATTCCCATGGAGTTCAGTGCTGATCTTCTGTGTTGGGCACATTAGTGCCAGTGTTGCCTGGCCTGCCTGCCTGTAATTTTATGGCTCTCAGACTGCACCCAGTGTTGTTTGTAGGCTATACATTTTGTGGTGGTTCTGAAATAGCTTGCATAGCAGAGTCTATATAATTCATTAATCAAACATGATAAAACGATACTACTACAAAATGCACCTTAAGTATTTTAAATATACTGCCTGCTTTCTCTAAGTGCACTACAAATGTGCTGTAATAAAGCTTCCCCACTGATTTAAGAGAGTCTCAGAAGAAGCTGTACTAACTAAATGCAGAGCATCTTTGGGAAAAAAATGGAACTATTAGATACTTAGTAAAGATATGTCCATATTACAAACAGTCTTAGTAGTTTTAAGTATTGTCACAGAAGAAAAGAGTAGTTTACCATTAACAGTAGTTACTATTATTGTTCAACTAACTGAGAATTGATTTTATAAACCTATATCACTAGCCTTTTTTAGGCATTACACTGTGGTAATAATTATCTTGTTATTTTAAGCAGTATGAAAACACTTGAAAAATAGAAAATGCATATAAATGTTATTTAAATGAGGAAACTAGTGACTCCTGTATTTGTACCTTTTCATAATTTAAGAAATTTTTAAAAATCATGTGAACTACACAGTATGTGTAATTTAATACACATAATGAATCAAGAACAATGATTAATTTTGAAAACATATTAGTTTCATGGCCCAGCTAGAGTTTTTTAGCACCTTACAAAATAAAAATTTCACAGACTAAATAGTGTCTTCTTTTAAAAATACTTGTAATTAATTAATTTTCAAAGCATGTTAGTTTCATGGTCCAGCTAGAATTTTAGCACCTTACAAAATAAAAATTTCACAGACTAAATAATACCTTCTTTTAAAAGTATTTGTAATTAATTAATTTTCAAAGCAGCTATTGGGCATGTGAAATTTTTAAGTGGAAGGAGTAATTACAGAAACTTAATATTGCAGTTTTTCTTTAATCACTGTGTTTTCCGTAGGTAAAATGAGTATTCATTTGGGAAATAACATAAAATCTGCCTTTCTGAATACTTGATTTCAGAAAAACTAGTGAAAGTAAATTTAGTATTGCTGATTGCAGGCGAATCTTAATTTTAAGGGCAATTTTATGCCTATCTGGGCTGCTGGAGAAGCCCTCACACCTCTGTCAGCCTTTGAATGGCAAACACGCAGTTTCATTTCTTTGAACAGGAAAAGGAGGGTGTGTGGACATAACAATACCATAATAGTTTTGGGTTATGTTTAAAATATTACAGATGTCCCTTTTCTCCCCCCTGCACCCCTCCCCCCAGACCTTCCCCACACTATTGTCTGTGCCCATGGGTTATGCGTATATGCATATAAGTTCTT